CCACAGGTGTGGGCCACAAAGCCCGCCTAATTTTTTTAACTTTTGGTAGAGATGGGGTCTCATTTTGTTACCAGGCTGGTCTTAACTCCTGGGTTCATGCGATCCACTACCACCTCCCAAAGTGCTGAGGATTACAGGCATGAGCCACTGTGCCTGGCCCTTCATTCTTTTCTATTGTCAAATGAAATTCCATTGTATGGATATGCCACATTTTCATTTATCCTCTCATCAGTCGATGGACTTTCGAGTTGTTTCTGCTTTTTGGCTATTATGAATAATGTTGCTATATTTCTCTTGGGTATGTACCTAGGAGTGGAATGGCTTATTAGATGAACTTTTATGTTTGATCTTCTGGTAAAATGCTAGGCTGTTTTCCAAAGTGGAGTACGACTTCACTCCCCTCAACAACAACAACAACAACAACAACAGAAATACGAGAATTTCTCCACATCCTCACCAACACTTGTCTTTAATTACATTCATTTTAGGGTGTCAGGTGGTATCTTATTGTGGTTTTGATTTGCTTTTAGCTGGTGTCTAATGATGCTCAGCATCTTTTCATGTACAGTTGACCTTTTATCTTCTTTAGATCATTTGCCCATCTTTGAATTGTGTTTTAAAAATTCAGCCTGAGTTTTTAGGCTGAAAAAAATTTATTTTGAAATCATTATGTGATGTTGGTTTTATCACTTTGAGTTAATCATACTATTTTTCTTTTGCTCTAATGAAGCAAATTATATTAATTGATTTCCTGATAGTGACCATCTCTTGCATGCCTCTGGTAAACCTTACTCAATTCTGTTGTACTATCCTATTTATTGATATTTTTTGTTTGGACTTGTTTTCCTTATAATATCTGAATCTGTGTATGTTGAAGTTTGCCTGTAATTTTGTTTACTTACAATGGTCGCCGTGTCATGTTTGATTTCAGTATGCCAATCGCAAAGAATATTCTTCTTTAATATTCCTATCACTGTAACCCCTTTGATAAGTCAAACGGTTTTGTGAAATTAGTTTAAAAGTGACCGTGTTTTTTTTTTCCCTTGTAACATTGTATACTGCTGTAATAATCAAAACACAAACGACATTTTGAATCATACATAATTCTGGGGTTTACATAAAGGCTAATTAAATGAAACTTCCAGATACCCACCTCTTGCCTTAGAGAGTGGATAAGTTATCTATACCTAATATAATGCAAACATTAGTGACCAGTTACATTGAAGTGTAGTTGAAGTAACCAGAATCTTCATAAATATGCCTAATCTGGAAGATTTTCATCCAGACTGGAATTCTTTTATCTCTGAGTGGTGTAACTGACTGATAAAGCCTTTGAGCACTGTGTTTGTTGGTGAAAACTTAAATTATCTAGTTTTGTTTTGTTTTATTTTTTATTTTGTTTTATTTTCTGCTTTAAAAGAATGTCTGGGCAGTGAGTTAAGCTGGGAAAACCTAGTGCCTTTGCTGATGGAATCAGTCTAGATTCTTCTTTCTTTTACATTCTTAAAATTGTGGTAAAACACCTAAAGCCAAACTGGCCATTTTAATCATTTTTAATTGTAAAGTCAATGGCATTAATTGCATTCACAGTGTTATTCAGCCATCACCAGCTAGTTCTTTTTCTTGTAATTTCTACATAGTCAGTTTTGGTGAGTTGTATTTCTGTAGGAATCAATTTATTTCCTGAGAGTTTTGAATTTGATTGAAGTTATTCATGTCTTGTTTAACCTCTGCAACATCTATAGTTGTGTTTCTCCTTTTTTTCTTTGAAGAATTTTGCCTGATTTTTTCCTAGTTTGCAAAGAACCAGTGTGTAGCTTGAGTGATACTGTTGTTTTCTAGTTCATTGTATTATTTTTGCTATTCTATCTCCAACTGCTTAAGTTAATTTTTGACTTCACTTCTTTTCTAGTATAAACGTATAACACTTATTTTTTTCCTAAGGACCAGTTTAGCTACATCAGCTATATCCTACAAGTTGTGATACTCAGAAGTAATCAATAACCACAGTATTACGTATTTCCTAATAAAACAGTAAGTTCTTTGGAAGTGTGATGTTTCTGAATTCCAAATGTGTTACTTTTTTTGTTTGCTTGAAAAATAGGAAACCACTAATATTCAACGATATTTTTAAACTACAGAAACAGCCATTCAACATAATCATTTTATTAACTTACAACTTAATTGCATTGTAATTAACACGTGTCAGTGAACATGTCTGTATGCCACATCTTTTTCTAGATTTATTTTTAAGTTGTGTGGGCACATAGTATGTGTGTATATTTAAGAGGCACATGAGATGTTTTATATACCAAATTTTGAAAGGTTTACGACTAGCTTTACAGTATATTCATCATACAGTATGGTCAAGTTTTATAAACATTTCGTGTGTACTTCAAAAGAATGTATATATACTCCATACATTCGGTAGTGTTCCTAAGTATGTTAGATTAAGTATACTCATTGTATTGTTTCAGTCTTCGTATCTGTTTTCAGATGATCTATTGCTGAGCAGTGTTTCAGTCTCTTACAGCAATACTGATTGTGTTATTTCTCCTTCAATTGTGGTAGCTGCTTCTGCTTTATAAGTTTTATGAGACTAGAATTTTCTATCTTCCTGATTAATTAGTACTTTACATCCTCTAATACCTCTAATAGTGCCCTTTGTCTTAAAATGTATGAAATTAATTTAGCCAAACAAACTTTATATGGTTAATATTCACCTGGTATATCTTTCTTACTTTTGAGAGTCAGTTTTCTGTTTTGTTTTTTTGTTTTTGAGATGGAGTGTCATTCTTTAATGGCCTGATCTCGGCTCACTGCAACCTCTGCCTCCCGGGTTCAAGTGATTCTCCTGCCTCTGCCTCTCACTATGTCCATCATTTGAATGGCTACCCTAGCTATTTTATCGTGCATTCTTATACTCTAAAGCTAATCGATACTATGAGTTCCCAGTGGAAGAACACAAGGAGCATACAACTCAGTCACCTCCTTCCCACTTTATATATTATTTAGTATTAGGATTGAGCTTATTTTTCCATCTCACAAATTGGATATTATTGCCATTTTATATAAAACAAGTTTCCTTAATTTTACCTGTTTTATTTTTGTTCATTCTACTTAACATTCTGGGTCTTGCAGTTCCTATCTGCTGAAATACTTTTAATTTACTTCAGTGACGGTTTTTTCCCATGGGTAAGTTGCCTCGGGTCTTTATTTTAAAATGCCTTTATTTAACTCTCCTTGTAATTTTTTTAAGCTTTTAATCATGAGAATTTTTAATTCACCTCAAAAGTAGAACAGTACAGTTATCTCTTGTATCCATGGGAGACTGGTTCCAGGACCCCCCACGTGGCTTCCGAACTCCACAGTCACAAACTCCTTATTTAAAATAGCGTTGTATCTGCATATAACCTACACACATCCTCCCAAATATGCTATTTTTCCCTCCCATTTACTTTAAGTTATCCCTCAATTACTTACAATACTTAGTACAATGTAAGTGCTATGTAAGTAGTTGGTTGGGATTTTATTTTTTTTTAAAGATGGGGTCTCTGTTGTTAGGCTGCAGTACAGTGATGTGATCATAGCTTGCTGCAGCCTGAAACTCCTGGACTCAAGTAATCCTCCCCCCTCAGCCTCCCAAGTAGTTGGGACCACAGACATGCACCACCACACCTAGCTAATTAAGAAAAAAAAAAGATTTTCTCAGGCTAGTCTCAAACTCCTGGCTTCAAGACATCCTTCTGCCTCAGTTTCCAGACATGCTGGAATTACTGGTGTGAGCCACTGTGCCAGGCCATAAATAGTCATGCTGTATTGTTCAAGGAGTAATGACAAGGAGGAAAGTCCACATGTTTAGTATAGAAACAGGCATTCATCTTTTTCCCACGTATTTTTGATCTGTGGCCATGTAGCCCACAGATACAGAGAGCTGACTATATAATGAACTCTCTCATGTCCTTAACACCCAGCTTCAACAGTTACCAATATTTTGCCCATCTTGTACCATCTAGCCCTCAGCTGTCCAATATAGTAGCCACTAGCCTTGCGTGGCTATTGAAGTTTAAATGCTTAAAACTTAACACTAACCTCATTTCAAGTGTTCATTAGCTATCCATACATGACTAGTGGTTACTTTATTAGATACTGCTAATAAATATTATCAGATAATGCTTTTAGGTCCCCCCCCCCCCATTTGTTTTTAAAGCAAATTCCAGACATCCTGTCATTTCACCAGCAAATTTTTTTTTTTGAGACAGTCTTGCTCTGTCGCCCAGATTAGAGTGCAGTGGCACAACCTTGGCTCACTGCAACCTCCGCCCCGGGTTCAAATGATTCTCCTGCCTCAGTCTCCCGAGTAGCTAGGATTACAGGCACCTGCTGGTACACCCAGCTTGTATTTGTACTTTTTGTAGACAAGATTTCACCATCTTGGCCAGGCTGGTGGTCTTGAACTCCTCACCTCCCTTTCCACCTGCCTCAGCCTCCCAAAGTGCTAGGATTGCAGGCGTGAGCCACTGCACCCGGCCATCAGTAAAGTGTTAACTGCATCTCTAGTTGGTTCATCACCACTACTCCATTATCCCACCATCAAACTGACATACCCTGATTGTCTACAGAGTATCTTTTTACATTTGGTTTGTTCAAAGGAGGATCTTAACAGCATCCCACACTGTTGTGTTTATATTTATATATAGCCCTTAAGTTTCTGTTGTATCCTCTTCTTTTTTCATTTGTTAATCCATTGATTTATTGAAAGTTACTTGTTCTTAAAATGTCCCACATCATATACAGATTTTGCTGACTGGTTTGTTTTCATTGCTTAACCTGTTTATCTTTGTATTTCCTATAACGAGTAGCTAGATAGTTTTAACTGTCTAGCATTCTAGGTTGATGAGTTATTTTTTCTCAGCACACTGAAGACATTGTCCGGCTTTCTTCTGACGTCCATTGTTGGTGTTGAGAAGTCAGCTATCAGTCTGTTTTTCCTTTTACAGGTGACCTGTTTTTCCCCTGGCTGCTTTCAGAATTGTGGGAAAAAAGTCAAATACCAAGGAAGAAAAATCTCTTATCAAACTAGGTGTGGATTTCTATTTATGTATTCATCTTGGGGCTTACAACACTTCCAATACCCAAAGGTTAGTGTCTTTCACTAATTCAAGAAAATTGCTAGGTTTTCATCTAATAGTGCTATCAGAGTTCTAATCTGGTATTTTAATACTGGCATTGGATTTCTCATTTCAGTGAGTTTTTCATTTCTAAAAATTGTTTTTTTAAAACTAACCATCTTACAGCATCTTGTTCCATATCCATTCAAATTTTTCTTAATTTCTTTAAGCCTTTATTTTAAAAAAATATTTTATATCTAAAAGGGTAATATCTCAAGTGTTACGTTTTTTGTCACCTGATACCTGTGTTTTAACTGTCTTACACGTGGTACATTGTGTATTTGTGTTTCACAATTTCTTAAACTGTGCCTTCCTCAGTGTACTTAGAACTTTGTATATAAGATTTTTCTCAAGACCCGAATTAAAGTTGATTTTCCAGAGATGGATCCACTTGCTTGCACTAGTTGTTTGAGGACAGTGCCAATTAGGACCCTCTTTAAATGAAATTACTCTCTTGAGGTTGTTTGAACTACTCAAATGAATTTGGACTGAAACCTAAAAGAGAACACTTGTGTATGCAAATCCTCAAGAGAGATTTTCTTTTCTTTTCTTTTTTCTTTTTTTTTGAGACAGAGTTTCGCTGTTGTTACCCAGACTGGAGTGCAATGGCACAATCTCGGCTCACCACAACCTCCGCCTCCTGGGTTCAAGCAATTCTCCTGACTCAGCCTCCTGAGTAGCTGGGACTACAGGCGTGCACCACCATGCCCAGCTAATTTTTGTATTTTTAGTAGAGACGGGGTTTCACCTTGTTGACCAGGACGGGCTCGATCTCTTGACCTCGTGATCCACTGCGCCCGGCCGGAGACTTTCTTTCTACTATACCTGACAGTTACAGTTCCTTGCTTCGGGCTTTCATATGGAAATTTTACTTTCTTTTTAAAAACGTTTTCACTATGGATTTTCAGTCATACCCAGGAATAGAGTGCTATGATGAAGCTACTGTGTACCTACTCAGCTTCAATGATGGTCACCATTTTGCCATTCTTATTACATCCATTCTCTCCCTTGCTTTCTTTTGTAATTTTTTTTTTTTTTTTGAGATGGAGCCTCACTCTGTCTCCCAGGCTGGAGTGTAGTGGCACAATCTCGGCTCACTGCAGCCTCCACCTCCCAGGTTCAAGCAGTTCTCCACCCTCAACCCCCCAAGTAGCTGGGAATTACAGGTGCCTGACACCACACCTAGCTAATTTTTGTAGTTTGAGTAGAGATGGGGTTTCACCATGTTGGTCAGGCTGGTCTTGAACTCCTGACCTCAAGCAGTCCACCCACCTTGGCCTCCCAAAGTGCAGGGATTACAGGCATGAGCCACCACACTCAGCCAGTTTTGTTTTTCTAAAGTATATTTTTCCAGCTTTATTGAGGGATAATTTGCAAATAATAAAAATTACATATGTTTAAGGTATATATCATAATGTTTTGATCTACCTATCCATTGTGAAATTATCATCACAGTCAAGCTAATTAACATATCCATCCTTTGCTTGGTTGCTTCTGTGTGTAAGATGCACTGTCTTGGAAAGTTTCAGGTATACAGTACATCATTAACTATAGTCACCAATTCATACATCTGGTCTCCAGAACTCAGCCATCTTATAACAGCAGAGATATACCATGACCAACATCTCCCTGTTTCCCTCACCCTTTGGCTCCTGGTAATCACCTCTCTACCCTGTTTCTAGTTTTGACTTTTAGATTTCACGTAAGTGGTCATGCAGTATGACCTCTGTCTGCCTTATTTTACTTTGCATAACGTCCTCCAGGTTTCCTTCTTTTTTAAGACTGAATAATAACCCTCTCGTGTGTGTGACATTTTCTTTTTTTGGGGGACAGAATCTCGCATTGTTGCCCAGGCTGTAGTGCACTGGCACAATCTCAGCTCACTGCAATCTCTGCCTCCTGGGTTCAAGCAAGTCTCCTGCCTCAGCCTCCCAAGTAGGTGGGACTACAGGCATGTGTGGTCACACCCAGCTAATTTTAAAAATATTTTTAGTAGAGACGGGTTTTCACCATGTTGGCCAGGATGGTCTCAATCTCCTGACTTCATGATCTCCCTGCCTTGGCCTCCCAAAGTGCGGGGATGACAGGCGTGAGCCACCACACTTGGCCATATATGGGAGAGTTAGAGAAGGATTATTCTTCTTTAAATGTTTGGTAGAATTCAACAGTGAAACCACCAAGTCCTGGGCTTTTCTTTGATGGAAGGTTTTTCCTTACTGATTGAGTCTCCTTACTCATTGATCTTGTTGGGTTTTCTGTTTATGTTTCAGTCTTAGCAGGTTACATGTTCTAGGAATTTTTCCATTTCTTCTAGGTTATCCAATTTTTTGGCATAAAATTTTTCATTATAGTCTCTTATCTTTTGTATTTCTGTGGTTATCACTTGCAGTGTCTTTTCTTTCATTTCTTGAGACGGACTTTCGCTCTTGTTACCCAGGCTGGAGTGCAATGGCCCGATCTCGGCTCACCGCAGCCTCCGCCTCCTGGGTTCAGACAATTCTCCTGCCTCAGCCTCCTGAGTAGCTGGGATTACAGGCACGCGCCACCATGCCCAGCTAATTTTTTGTATTTTTAGTAGAGACGGGGTTTCACCATGTTGACCAGGATGGTCTCGATCTCTTGACCTCGTGATCCACCCGCCTTGGCCTCCCAAAGTGCTGGGATTACAGGCTCGAGCCACCGCGCCCGGCCCTTTTCTTTCATTTCTAATTTTATATTAGTCTTGTCTATTTTATGTTAGGTAGTCTGGCTAAAGGTTTTTGTTTTTATTTTTATACAACCAACTTTCAGTTTCATCCATCTTACCTATTGTCTTTCTAGTCTCTCATTTATTTCTGCTATGATCTTTATTATTATTTCCTTCCTTCTACTGACTTTGGGCTTAGTTTCTTCCTTTTTACTTCTACTGACTTTGGGCTTAGCTGCCACTTTTTCTAGTAACTTGAGGTATTAACGTTAAGCTGTATAAGATCTTTCTTACTCACCCTTGCTCTCATTGACATGTAATGTTTTTCCCATCTTTTTACTTTTAGGCTACATGCATTCTTAAAGCTATAGTGAGCTTCTTGTAGGCAACATATACTACTTTTTAATCCAGTCTGCCACTATGTGTTTTGATTAGAGAATTTAATCCATTTATTTTTGTTTGCTTTTAAGGAGATAGGATCTCTGTCACCCAGGATTGGAGTACAGTGGCATGATCATACTCCCAGTACTCCCAGGCTCAAGCAATCCTTCCACCCTAGCCCACCAAGTAGCTAGGACTGCAGGCAGATGCCACCGCACCCAGATAATTGTTAAAAATTATTTTCTGTAGAGATGCAGTCTTGCTGTGTTGCCCAGCCTGCTCTCAAACTCCTGCTATCAAGTGATCCTTCTGCCTCAGCCTCCTGAGTGCATTTATATTTAAAGTAATTATCGATAGGTAAGTACTTACTGTTGCCATTTTGTTCATTCTTTTGTTGCTGTTACACGTTTTGTTCTTTTCTTCCTCCCTTCCTGTCTTCCTTTGTGATTTGATGACTCTGTAGTGATATGCTTTGATTCCTTTCTCTTTTCTCCATAACACAGGTTCTTGCTTTGTGGCTACTAGAAGCTTAAAGCATCTTGTAGTTTTAACAGTTTGTGTTAAGCTGTTAAAACTTAGCTTTAATTGCATACAAACAATTTATACTCTTCCATTTCCCATATTTTATGTTTAATCTTTTGTACTAGAGTTATAAGTTACTTACACCACTGTTACAGTATTGGGGTTTCTGGATTTGAGTATGTAAGTGCCTTTACCCCAGTGGGTTTTATAATTTTATGTTTTCATGTTACTAAGTGTCCTTTCTTTTAAGCTGAAGAATTTACTACTTCCTATAGATCAGCTCTATTACTGATGAAGCCCCTCATCTTTTGTTTGTCCAAGAAGTTTTTATGTTTGCTTCATTACTGAAGGCCATTTTTACCAAGCATAACAGTCATGCACTGCAGGAAGACATTTTGGTCCATGATGGACCACCCATATATGACAGTGGTCTCATAACACTATAATGGTGCTAAAAATCCCAATCACCTAGTGACATAGCCACTGTAACACTGTAAAGCACATTACTCACATGTCTGTGGTTTCCACAAACCTGCTACACTGGCAGTCATGTAACAGTCTAGCACATACAATTATGTACAGTACAGATGATACATAGTACATAATGAATGGTAACCACATTACTGTTTTATATATTTTCACATTATTTATTGTTGTTTAGAGTATATTCCTTCTGCTTGCTAAAAAAAAGTTAACTGTAATTCAGAAGGGATTCCAGAAGGCATGTCACCATAGGAGATGTCAGCTCCATGCATGTTATTGCCCCTGAATACCTTAAGTGGGACACAATAGAAGGTCTAAGACAGTGATATTCATGATCCTAACCCTATGTAGACCTAGATTAAGTGTATGTTTGTGTCTTTGTTTACAATAAATAGGTTTAAAAAGTAAAAGAAATGAGGGGCAAGCAAACAGGGCCTTGAAGGTAGGCTACTAAGTTAAGAAGACAGTCCGAGCTCTGCTGTAAGATTTGCAGCACTAGATTTTCCTGACTTCACAATATAGCTAAGTATACTACATGTTCTGAAATGTAACCCTTTTATTATGAAATGCAAATATTCTCACCTTCATGGTCCTTGTGAGTTACTCCTTATTGTTTTAGTGATTTAGGGATATCAGCCCAACCCTATGAAGTCTGTCCCATTTGAACAACGAGAAAAGTGAGGGTGTGATATAAGATATTCCAGACTCATCTTGAGGATGATTTCTTCTTCTTTATCAGACCAGCTCTTTCCCCAGTGCGTCCTGTGTTCTGTCACGAGTTAAATGATATTCAGAACAGTTCTGCACTTCAGAGGCTCATTCATCCTGAGCTGTTAGCAGTCATAAGCCTTTTCAGTGGTTCAGCCTAGAAAAAAGTACAAGAAAAAAATGATAAATGCATACTGTACTTCTAATTTGAGGATATACTGTGTTCTTAACTATATTGTCTGTGTATGTTGTTACTCTCTAACGTGAAGAAGCTTCTGAGCCTGCTAGTGTTGAGTATCTAGCAGGCCTAGACTTTTATGACTTCTATCTTCTTCTCCAGCTGCCTGCTCAGGACTCTGCCCAGCCAGGAAGTAAACCTACAGGAGGAAGAATGGCTGCAGGGTGGCTGACAGCCTGGTCACAGGTTCACAAGAAACTTCTCTATTTCCAAAAGCACACTGCCATTCCTGAAAAGAACACATCTCTTGCCCCTGACCTAAAGTTTGACAGCCCAATCCGAGCTGGCTTCATCTTTGCAGTTCCCAGGCTGTTCCATATAGAAGAGGGAACGCCTGGGAAAGGCTTCTATTCCCACGTTTGTTAACTTTTTCCAAATATTATTCCATATTTTTGAGTATGAATTCCATACTTTGCTAAGTCCTGTAAAGACTTTCACTAGGAAAACTGTTTATTCGTTTCACAAGTATTTCTTGCATTCTGACAGTATGCCCTATCTATACCAGATCTGAATAGGACCAAGAGTCCTCACAACCTAACTGTGCAAAGATCAAGCCAACCATATTTTAGAAAAGCTGTTATGACATGACCCTGAATGAGACGGCCCAGGGAGAAGGATTTAAAGAAGAGAGTTCTGAGAACTCAGCTTTCAGGCAAATAACAGAAGGCCTCTGATGCATGTCTGAGCTTCCAAAGCCCTGGGTCTCCTCTCCAGTCCTGTTAGCCTCGCCCACTATTCTCCTGGTACATTGTCAAAAATGGACATCGGCTGAGCCAGAATATGTATGTGATGTTTTAGAACTCAGTGAGCTTCCAGGAAGTGGCAGTGGACTTTTCCCAGGAGGAGTGGGCATTGCTGGACCTTGCTCAAAAAAATCTATACAAAGATGTGATGCTGGAGAACTTTAGGAACCTGACCTCAGTGGGTAAGGCTGGCCTCATTCCTTCATTTGTTTATATAGCAAATAGTTTTTAAGCATGTAGTGTGTTCCAGAATCTGTGAAAAGAATGGCAATACAGTGGTTACTCACAAAATGAACAGTCCCTGCCCTCGGGGGGCAGTCTAGTGGATTCCCATGGAAGTACACTGATTTCATTTTCTCTATCACTAATAGCTTTAGATAATTTGCAATCTGTGTCTTATCCTGTGTATAGTTTCAAGGGTCACTTCCATATAGGGCATGGACTATGCTTTTAAATGATACTCATGAAACAGCTCTGCTCTAGTTGTTTGGCTGTTCTGAAAGCTGCACTTGAGTATTTTAACAATCCTCATACATTTCTCCCACATCCTCTCATTCTGCGAGTAGGGTATGAGCTCTGCAGACACAACCTGATCTCCAAGGTGGATCAAGAAGAGCTGAAGACAGATGAAAGAGGAATTCTAGAAAGTGACTGTGCAGGTGAGCCCTGGGGAGAACAGTCATCTCGTGGTGCAGCCTTGGCCAGTGAGGGTTGGTATATTTGGGAATGTCACTCAGTAAAGGAAAAGAAATCTGAGGCCATTATTTCCACGAATGCGTTTCGTTTAGTTCTGTTTTCCCAAACCTCCACAATCCTAACTAAAATACCTCCCATTTCTACTCCTTGTTCGTATCACTGGTTGCATCTTCTCTCTCATATTATTTGAAAACAAATCCATAGAGTCTCCCTCCCTTTTTCTTTCATCCCTGCCTTTTTTCCCAATAATTATAAAAATTTTCCTGTGCTATTTCAGAGTGGGAAACTCAACTCAAATCCAAAGATGTGATTGCTATGCAAAACATTCCTGGGGGAAAAACATCTAATGACATGAAAATGGTAAGACTTAGTAGGAATTATTCCTGGTCTTTGTAGTAGAAGCCTGGGAATTTCAGTGAGTGAAAACATCAGCACCCAAAGCAGGGTTAAGAGTTTGGGCACCAAGCTTTCACCAGAAAGCTGTCTCAGTGATTTTCATGAAATTGGAGAAATCTGTAAACCTAGTTTAATGCTTGCTGCCTCACAGAGAATAACCACAAGTAAACATTTACTTAAATAGGATTTTTGTGTTAAGTATTTAGTATATAATTCATTCTTCACTCAATATTAGAAAAACTCTGTATTAAAGAAGCCATTTGTTGGGAAGGAATACAATAGAGCCTTGGGTAGAGTAGTGAGCTTATTCAACTTGAAAAAAATAGGGCAAAAGTATGCATGTGCTGAAAATGGTAAACATCTCAGTCATGACCATGTGCTTCCTATATATGGCAGAATCCAAATCGAAGAGAATTCCTGTAAATACGATGAAAGTGAAAAAGCTTTTAGTCACCACTTCCTCCCTTTCAACAGGCACAAACTCAACCTGGTAAGAACCCCCTGGAGTGTAACCACTGTGGGAAATTCAGAAAGAACACTCACTTTAAATCTACAAGATATTGCAAGGGAGAGAAATTCTATAAATATACTAAGTATGGCAAAGTCTTCAACCATCCCTCAACTCTCAGGAGTCATGTGAGCATTCACATTGGAGAGAATACTCTTGAATTTACTGATTGTGGAAAAGCTTTCAATCAAGAGTCATCCCTCAGGAAACACTTAACTCCAACAGGAGAGAATTCTCATGAGTATGATCAATCTGATATGTCCTTCAGCCTACACTCATCCTTCTCGGTACGTGAGCAAATACCTAAGGGCGAGAAAGGCAGTGAATGCAGTGATTATGGCAGAAGCTTTCCCCTTAGTGTCCACACAAAGACTGATCATGTGCAGGAGGGTTTGGAACGTAATGAACATGAGAAAACTTTAACTGACCCTTTGTCCCTTCAGAACTGTGTCAGAACTCACACTGGAGAGAACCCCTATGAATGCGGTGACTGTGGGAAGGCCTTCATTTTTCAGTCTTCCCTTAAGAAACACATGAGATCTCATACTGGAGAGAAGCCGTATGAGTGTGATCACTGTGGAAAATCCTTTAGCCAGAGCTCTCATTTGAATGTGCACAAAAGAACTCACACTGGAGAGAAACCCTATGACTGTAAGGAATGTGGGAGGGCTTTCACAGTTCCTTCATCCCTTCAGAAACACGTGAGAACCCACACTGGAGAGAAACCCTATGAATGCAGTGACTGTGGAAAAGCTTTCATCGATCAGTCATCCCTTAAGAAACACACACGCTGTCACACTGGAGAGAAGCCTTATGAGTGCAACCAGTGTGGAAAATGCTTCAGCACAGGCTCCTACCTCATTGTGCACAAGAGAACTCACACTGGAGAGAAGACCTATGAGTGTAAGGAATGTGGGAAGGCCTTTAGGAATTCCTCTTGCCTGAGGGTACACATGAGAACTCACACTGGAGAGAAGCCTTATAAATGTATTCAGTGTGAAAAAGCCTTTAGCACAAGCACTAACCTTATAATGCACAAGCGAATCCACACTGGCCAGAAATGCCATGAATGAAGTGACTACAGAAAAGTGTTTGTTGTCCTTCATGCCTTCTTTCTCACTTTAGAACACAGGCTAGAGAGAAGCACTTTAATGGTCATTGTGCTTCTGGACCAACTCTGGATGTTATACTGGCACAAATCTTATGAATATTACAGCTTGCTTTTTTTTTTTTTTTTTTTTTTGACAGAGTCACTCATGTTGCCTGGGCTAGAGTACAATGGCACAATCTTGGCTCACTGCAACCTCCACCTCCCAAGTTCAAGCGATTCTCCTGCCTCAGCCTCCTGAGCAGCTGAGATTATAGGTGTCCACCACCATGCCTGGCTAATTTTTTAAAAAATTCTTTAGTACAGACAGGGTTTCACCATGTTGGCCAGGCTGGGTCTTAAACTCCTGACCTCATGATCTGCCTGCCTCAGCCTCCCAAAGTACTGGGATTGATTACAGGTATTAGCCACCATGCCCAGCCTCTGATTGGTTTTAATCAGTGAGTGTTTCATCCTTATACATGTCATAACTTATTATTTATAAGTATGTTAATATGTAGATCCTATGAGTATTTTAATTGCATTGTGGTCTAAAATACATATAGTCTATGTGCCATAGCTTTTAACATAGTTGCTGGAGACTGACATACTGTGGCAGACAGAACTAGTTTCTGTCTCAATATCCATTCCTCCCTCCTTGTTCCAGTCCTCACTTTTTTTTTAAGATAAAATTTCGCTCTTGTCACCCAGGCTGGAGTGCAGTGGTGTAATCTCGGCTCACTGCAACCTCTGACTCCCAGGTTCAAATGATTCCTCTCTCAGGCTCTTGAGTAGCTGGGATTACAGGCATATGCCACCATGCCTGGCTAATTTTTATACTTTTAGTAGAGATGGTTTCACCGTGTTGGCTGATCTCAAACTCCTCCTGACCTCAGGTGATTCACCTGCCTTGGTCTCCCAAAGTGCTGGGATTACAGATGTGAGGCACCGTACCCAACCCCCTCCTTCTTAAAGTAACAAAGTTTACCATTTGGTTCAAGCTGGCAATATGGACATTTTTTAAAGGACTCATCACCCAGCTTTCCTTACAGCTGTGAGTGGCCAAATGTGTCCCCATTTCTAGCCCATGCAAAGTAGGCAGAGTCACTGGATATAGCTTCTAAGGAAGCTCATGGAAATGGGAATACCTCATCTGGTGTTTTTTTTTCTTAACTATATTTGCCTTTTGTCTTACCCCTTTTTATTTCCTAGAAAATTTATACACCAAGAGGAGGACAGAGAAAGAGGAGGACAGAAAGGATACTAAAGGAAACAACAGGGGAGATACAATATTATCTGGTTGCACTAATCCTGTGCTGCTTATGGACCACATGCTTTAACCCACTATTGGGGGAAATTCCTCTTTCAGCTGATTTCAGTCCCAATTGTTACATCTAACATATGGTCATGTTTCAGGAATCTTTCAAGTATGGTTGAAAACATAGTGTTTTCTGAGGCAGGAGGATCACTTAAGCCTAGGAGCTTGAAATCAGCCTAGGCAACAGAGTGAGACCCTGTCTCTCCAAAAAACAATTATAATTAGTTTGATGTGGCTACTTGTACAGACTGCACATCTGTAGTCTCAGCTGCTCTGGAGGCAGAGGCAGGAGGATCATTTGAGCCCAGAAGCTTGAGGGTGCAGTGAGCCATGTTTGTACCACCTGGGCAAGATAGTGAGACCCCTCTCTAAAAAAGTTGTATATTTACACACTTACCAAGAGTGGTATGTATAACTGTGGCTTGTCAAACTTGTTTCTGAGATGTCTCACTGTGTTGCCCAGGTTGGAGTGCAGTGGTGTGATCTTAGCTCACTGCACCTTCCATCTTCTGGGTTCAGGTGATTCTTGTGTCTCTGCCTTCCAAGTAGCTGGGATTACAGGCACGTGCCACCATATCTGGCTTCTTTTTCATATTTTTAGTAAAGGTGGGGTTTCCCAGTGTTGGCCAGGCTGGTTTCAAACTCTTGACCTCAAGGGATCCGCCTGCCATGAGCCACCACACCCAGCCAAATTCTTTTTTAAAAAATATCTGTCTAGGCCAGGTGCAGTGCTGCATGTCTGGAATCATAGCACTTTGGGAGCCCAAGGCAAGCAGGTCACTTGAGCTTACCAGTTCAAGACCAAGCCCAGCGAATGAGCCAAAACTTCATCTCTACCAAAAAAAGCCAGGTATGGCAGTGTACGCCTGTAGTCCCAGCTACTCAGTAGGCTGAGATAAGAGTATCACCTCAGCCCAGGAAGCAGAGGTAGCAGTGAGCTGAGATCATTTACTAGTATACTCCAGCCTGGGCCACAGAGTGACACCATGTCTCACACAAAAAAAGTTTTTTGGAGGGGTACTATACTTGGGTACAGGTAAGTTTACTCATTTTATATGTTTCTGGCACACTGTCCTATTATTCTTACCCAGTACCCATACTTTTCCCCTAATAAATTAATGTTCATTAATTTACTTGGTATAAATGTGAGCTACTGACCTAGAAATGCCATTTTCTCAATGTGTAAGGACAACCAAGAGCAACTTACTGTTCTCAGCATTACCTCACTTGGTTACACTGTTGCTTGCAGTAACATCTGCTAGGTACTGTCATCTTTACATCTCTTATCTTCTCTATCGATGCCTTTATGCTGGTTGGACATGATGAGAAGGAGATACCAAATACTTGGGAGTTCTTTTGTAAGACATAGGCGAACAATATGTTAGGGAACAGACCTAGTCAGGCTAACCTAAAGTTTCCAAGGGTCCAGTTGTCTGGAGCTTGCCAAGATACTCCCTCTAGTTATCACAAAGAGCATGCACTATGCCTGGTCGGCCTTTTTTGGTTTCCGGACGCACTACAATGACACATTTGAATGTGCTACATTGACCCATCTGCAAAGGGCTACATTAGTGAATAGTTTCTACCCTACAGAAAAGAAGCAATATACCACCACCTTGAGAATTTAGAAAAACAACACATTCTGGCAATATACGAGAGTAGCCTAACCAGGATAACAAATTTAGACAAGGACAGAATGAAGCTTGAAAACCTTCAAAAGTAATTTACAAAATACTAGCAAATGGAAACTGGGTATTTCTTTAAAAAGAAACCATCATGTTAAATTGATCCAGAAATCCAAAATTGGTTTTACATTTAAAAAAATCAAAACATACAATTCACTTTTAAAAGCTACATTACTCATTCACTCATACTAGTAATTACTAGGCACCTAAAATGAATGAGGCAGTGTTCAAAGCATTTAATGCATTACTGAAAAAACAGGATTATCTCAGTAGTTGTAGAAAAAGCCATAGAGGTATTCACTGAGAAAAATCCCAGCACTCTGGGAGGCCGAGGCGGGTGAATCACGAGGTCAAGAGATCGAGACCATCCTGGTCAACGAGGTGAAACCCTGTCTCTACTAAAAATACAAAAATTAGCTGGGCATGGTGGTGCGCACCTGTAGTCCCGGCTACTCAGGAGGCTGACGCAGGAGAATTGCTTGAACCCAGAAGGCAGAGATTGTGGTGAGCTGAGATCGTGCCATTGCACTCCAGCCTGGGTAACAACAGCAAAACTCCATCTCAAATAAATGAAATATATGATAAAACATTGTATAAAAAGTGCAAAAGTAGGCCGGGTGCGGTGGCTCAAGCCTGTAATCGCAGCACTTTGGGAGGCCGAGGCGGGTGGATCACAAGGTCAAGAGATCAAGACCATCCTGGTCAAAATAGTGAAACCCTGTCTCTACTAAAGATAAAAAATTAGCTGGGCATGGTGGCACGTGCCTGTAATCCCAGCTACTCAGGAGGCTGAGGCAGGAGAATTGCCTGAACCCAGGAGGCAGAGGTTGCGGTGAGCCGAGATGGTGCCATTGCACTCCAGCCTGGGTAACAAGAGCGAAACTCTGTCTCAGGAAAAAAAAAAAAAAAAGTGCAAAAGTAAACAATAAATGAATGGTGAAAAACAGAACATGAATTTAAAATCAGGAAGATGACAAGGGTGTCCACTATTAAAAACACTACTTAGTATTTTACTGGACTCTTAGAAAAGTGAGGCAGGCTAGGAAAAGATCTAAAAAACCTAAGGACCAGAAAGGTAGAAGTAATCTTGTTATTATTTATAATGATATGATTATCTAAATGGAAAATTTCAAAGGATCTATATATAAATTATTATAATAAAAATGTTTAATAAAATTGTGGGATACAACTTTAGTGTCTTAATAAATCAATTTGGAACTTATATTCAGGAATAGAAATAATTTTTTTTAAGCCAGTAAGTTTGAGGTAAGAGCCTCCACCTGCAAAAAGATTGTGACTCGCTGAGCATCAGATAAAGATTATGACTCACTGAACATCATTTTTTTTTTTTTGAGATGGACTCTGTTGCCCAGGCTGGAGTGCAGTGGTACAATCTCGGCTCACTGCAACCTCTGCTTTCTGGGTTCAAGCGATTCTCCTGCCTCAGCCTCCTGCCTAGCTGGGATTATAGGCATGTACCACCATACCCAGCTGATTTTGTATTTTTAGTAGAGACAGGGTTTCACCATGTTGGGCAGGCTGGTCTCAAACTCCTGACTTCGTAATCCACCCACCTCAGCCTCCCAAACTGCTGGGATTACAGGCATGAACCACCATGTCTGGCTGAAATAATATTTAAAAGTCAACATCATTTATAAGAGCTACAACAGCATAACATACAGAATACATTAAAAACTTTTACAAACCTGTTTTGAAGATAGTATTGTAAGCATTAAAGATGACCTAAACAAACTTGAGACGTTCATTGAAAGATCAAATTCTGAAAAGCCTCAATCTCCCAAACTGATTTACAGTCAAAAAGTTGCAAAGTTATACAGCTCCACCTCCAAATTGGCTGCAGACCTTTACAGGAGACTGCTGAACCCGCATGAATAAACAGTGAACTAACATCTTCAAAGACCCTGGAGACCTATTAATCCCCCCCCAAAAAGTGAAAATTTGGGGGGGGAATTAATGATGAGCTCCTCCTAGAAAAGGAGAAATCAGTGGCTGGTTTCTTCCCTGAAGGCATTTTCCTGGTCTAAGAGCAGACCGGGGGAGGGCCAGGCCTGCCACGGGCATATTCCAGTAAAGTTACTGGAATATGGAGAGACCTGGTGGGCATTAATGGTCACAAGGCTAGTATGATACTGTAATATAAAGTGGATTCTCTTCACCAGTGCTACATATCCCTATGATGATTTGCTGTGTAGCAACAGCTGGTGCTGGGCCCTAAACAGGAAAAAATGGATATCCCTGTTGTCTTGTGCTTAGATTCCACAGTCCTGCTACAGGGAGTGGCCTGAAATAGTCATGGGAAAGAACTTGCCCAAGATGTTTGAAACCAAAATGAACCAAAACTCATTTTCACATCTCAACCTCTGCTTGGATCAACCTTGAGATTCTCACCTGAACTCTGCTTGACAGAGGAGAGGGAGTGGCTTCCAGATGAAAATATTTTTCAATTTCTACTGTTCTTTTAAACATAATATCCACATACAATTTAAAATATCACATGACGTGCAGAGCAGCAGGACAATGTTACCAATCGAGAAAAATATCCAACAGAAAGATGCATAAATTATATGAAAAGTTGGACTTAGCAGACAAGGACTTCAGAATTGTCATAGAATCAACAGGTTTGTGTGTCTGCTGTGCAACAGCAGACCAATTAGGGATTAAGCAGAGTTTAATTACCACAGGGTGCCAAGCAAGAAGATAGGAAAAGACAAATCTGTATCCCCAAGAAGTTCTGGGCTGGACTTGTAAAGGGGATCAGGGAGGGTGAGGGACTGGAGAATTCGGGTTGTTGATGGTCAGAGAATGCAGGATGAAGTCATCAGGATGTGGAACCTGGATTCTTTGATCAGTCAGCTCATGGGGTCCCTCGGACCAGCTGAGTTACTGGAGTCCTTCAGATCAGCTGACATGGTAGGTTTATCAGCGTGTAAAAAGTGTTAAAGAATATCTCAGAGGGAGCGCCAAGATGGCCGTGAGAAGGCAACACCAGAATGCAATTCCCAGTGAATGAGATGCAGAGGGCTAGAGGACTTCACGATTCCAAACTAGGTGCCAGGTTTGTTTTGGTGGGACTGATAGGGCACTGAAAATAACCCAGGGAAGAAGCCGCAGGGCCAGGGCCGCTCAGGGGGCCAAATCAAGATGGGGGTGCATGTCCCCACCTGAAACATGCAGCTGGCTTGGAGTGTCGGGGTAGGGGGGTGGACTTCATCCCCTCGTTGCTCCAATTTGGATCCTGTGCTTACGTCAACCCTCCTGCAACCCACAGTCCACAAGAGCCCTGCCAGACTGAGGGGCACCATGGGTAGTTGATGCAAATCTGAGCCGTGGCTCCTGCCAGGCACGGCAAGTTGTCACACAGACCTGGGCGGAAGTCCCAAAGAGGGAGGCAGAGTTGAAAGCAGGGAAACAGACCATAAGGCCTGGCAGGCCCCAGCTCCACAGAACTCAAACTGAAGCCCTTGCTAGAGAGCTTGGCAGCAAATACACCAGTTTGACCCCAACCAGGAAGATTGAGCTGTGGGAGAGACACCATTGGGAAGGCAGGGCCAATCTCACCTGCAAACAAACTCCAGGGAAGGACCACCCACCCAACAACCTGACTGAACCCGAGAGCCCAGCAACGCCCTCTATAGGCCAAAAAAAGATATAGCTCCAACCTCAACAGAAAAATAGTCCACTCAGAGACTCCTCCTGAAATCACCAACTTCGAAGATCAAAGGGAGATAAAGACATGAAGATGGGGGAAAAAACTAGCGCAAAAAGGATGAGACCAAATCAATGAAATAAAACAACAAGACAAGATTAGAGAAAAAGAGAGTGAAAAAAAATGAACAAAGCCTCCAAGAACTATGGGATTATATGAAAAGACCTAATCTATGCTTGATTGGCATACCTGAATGTGACAGGGAGAATGAATCCAAGTTGGAAAACACTCTTCAAGATATGATTCAATAGAACTTTCCCAACCTAACAAGGCAGGCCAATATTCAAATCCAGGAAATACAGAGAACACCACAAAGATACTCCTCAAGAAGAGCAACCCCAAGGCACATAATTGTCAGATTCGCCACGGTTGAAATGAAGGAAAAAATCCTAAGAGCAGCCAGAGAGAAAAGTCAAGTCACCCACAAAGGAAAAACCATCAGACTCACAGCAGATCTCTCAGCAGAAACCCTACAAGCTAGAAAGAAGTGGGGGGCCAATATTCAACATCCTTAAAGAAAAGAACTTTCAACCTAGAATTTCATAACTGGCCAAACTAAGCTTCATAAGTGAAGGAGAAATAAAATCCTTTACAGACAAGCAATTGCTGAGAGATTTCATCACTATAAGACCTGCCTTACGAAAGCCACTGAAGGACGTACTAAACGGAAAGGAGCGAGTACCAGCCACTGCAAAAACATACCAGATGGTAAAGAAC